ATACATTTTATTTTGAGAAACAATTATTTTTTGTAACTAAACATGTCAGGCTGAATAATTCATATGAATCGTTGACTCCTGCTGTCTTCGTTAGTTTAAAAAACACAGATTTCTTTAGCATTTAAAACGGCATCTTTGAAAATATTTTTCTGCTGGAGATACTGTTGTCCAAAAAAAAAAAATAAATATAAAATCTTACATATTAGGAACTGTATAGCAAAAAACCTTGACTTTTTTTTATATGAACTACAGTATTGACCTTATTCTAAAATGTTCCATGCACCTGTTTTCGCGATTGTTTTAGAACCTCAGATTCAGTCGTCTATGGGAGAAATGACTAGGAATAATAAACGGCAGAAAACGGTCAAACTACTTGCTCTACAAACAAATGTTTGCATGACTATACAGACCAAGTAGAATAATATAATAAGGAAATATCAGTTTGCAACATCAAACAGCGACACGAGCAGTTTCTAATGTCTAAAAATGAATGAATGAAAAGTGAATGAGACCAGAAGTCTCGAGCCAAAAAGATTCAAATGGCTGCGCCCTCTTGTTGACGAAGAATAAGTTGAATATCTTGAAAGTAGTTATCATCCCATGCCTACTCCAGTGATCTATCATTTACATGTATAGTATTTTGAATCTAATTGTCCTTTCCTAATTTCTTTTCCCCAAAGAAATCATCCCACCAAAAGACGTCCTATCAATGCTGGGAGAAATCAGGAGAGGTTTGAATGAGGTGAGTCTGAAATGAAGCTAAAAATAATAATGATAAAACTAAGTTTTGATTTTATTTTTGTATAATTCACGGCATCATTTCTCCTTTCAGATTGGAATCCAGAATTATTCCAGCGTGTCCGCCTGCCACTCGAGGCCCAGTCAGACGCGTAGTGACTACGGGAAGCTGTTTGTGGTTTTGGTAATCATCGGATCCGTCTGTGTGCTCATTATTGCTTCAGGCATCATCTATATCTGCTGGCAGCGCCGTTTACCCAAACTCAAGAACATGGTAGGTCATATACACGTTTACTTTAACCCTTGTAAAGACAGCAGGTCCTTAACTGTAGTTTTTAGTTAGGGTTGATGCATTTCAAGTGATTTAACCCTCAAAATTAATATACTTTTGGGGACTTTTTTAAACATGAACATTTAAACAATAGAATGTTTACGCAGTACTCATTGGGGTCCTTTTGGACACATATTGAGCATCTTTAGGTGTCAAAAAAATTCCCAATCAATTAAAATAAAGTAATAATTATTTAATAAAACTTTGAGAAGGTTATATTTATATATTTATTTTTGTCCCATATCTCATACACGTTTCAGGACTATATTTAATCATTGAACGAATTTACTCCAACTGACAGCCTGAATGTTCATTATCTTACCTCGAAGTGAAAGTTTTTGTGAGTAAAATGAATTAATTTTGCTTAAACCTTTACCGAAATATTTATACTGGTTTGTTGGTCATTGTTTTAGTAACCACAAATTATATATCTTAAAAAAAATGTTGCTATTATTTTGTAAGTTGTAACCATCTTTACATTTTTTTAGCACATATTATACATTTTACACATTCTGTCATTTTTAGATCCATGTACTACTGTGTGTGTAGGGATGGGATGATAACCGTTTTCAACGTATACCACGATTTGGAAAAGTCAAGGTTTTAAAACTGCTAAATTTTCTGCTATACTATTCCTACGGTATATGTAAGATTTTTTATTTATGATTTTTTTTTTCTTTAGGACAACAGTATCTCTAACAGAAGATATCCAAAGATGCCGTTTGAAATTGTAAATCTGTGTTTTTACAATTAATGAAGTTACTGATTTATTTAGCCTGACATGTTTACTGCTCCAAAATATTTTAAAAGTTTCTCAAAATAAAAGTGTTCAAAGGGGAAAAAAGTTTTAGTTTCTTACCCATACATTCAAAAAGAATATATTTTAGAGCAGTAATCACAAAACAGTGAAACCGTGATATTTTTATGCAAGGTTATTATACCGGCCTATGCCTATGTCAGACCTTTAGGTGTGAGAAATACTTTATATTATGTGCCACAAACTTTTTCACATTTTTCACACTCCCTCACACATTTTTTAAATGTTCATAAACATACTCAAAAATCATTTATTTTTATCTTTATAGTGTAATATTTATGCTCCTAAAAATATTTATATTATTTTTTGTTCAAAATATGACTTAATTTGTGAAATACAAAAAGTCTATATATATATATATATATATATATATATATATATATATATATATATATATATATATATATATATATATATATATATACTGGAAAATATCTGATTTCATTATTAAATCTATATAGTAATATATTGAATTAATGAATTAATGCTTCATTGTACAGAGTACAAGGAAATTACTTTCTTTGCACATGAAGAGAAACTGCACAAAACAATAAGATAAATGCAAGAAGTGGCCAAATAACGTTAAGTCATAGGAAGCACACGAAAGCTGAGCGCACATAAATCCACAGATTTCTAGCCCATCGTTGAGTATTTATTTACTTGAGTAAATTTATCAATTCTAAGATTTTTAAAATGGATCGCGTCTGTTATGAATTCACTAACCTCAGCATTCCCCAAGTTAAGTGTAGTTTTGATTAATCTGACTGTCTCCTCTGGTTTGCCAGTCGCGAGGTGAAGAGCTCCACTTTGTGGAGAACGGTTGCCATGACAACCCCACCCTGGACGTCACCAGCGACAGCCAATCGGAGATGCAGGAGAAGAAACACAGCGCCAACGGGGTGGCGCCGGGCGGCGACGTAAGCAGCGGCTGGCAGGTGCTCGTTAACAAGCCCGGGAAAGACGAGGAAGACAATCAAGAGGAAGACACTCACCTTTAATCCCGCCAAAACAGCCCGCAAAACGGCATGGAAAAAGCAGCATCGCATTAAAGACTACCGAAGGCACAAAACATTTTCAAGCTTTCCCCTCACCGAACCATCTGCTGTAGAAATGTGACGTCTTTTGGCTTGTATGACGTTTCCGTTTATCTCTGCATTGCTCAATTCAGACGGACTAATAACGTGCTTTAAAATGCGGGACAATTTACAGTGCAGGATTTATTTCAATCGAATGTGTCAAACAATCATTGTAGAGTTTAAAATGAGAGATTAATTGTTGCTTGCACTGTTAAAGCAATAGTTTACTCCAAAAAGGTGAATTATATTGAATTTATTCGCCTGAATGTTGCTTCAAACGTGTTTGCTTTACTGTGATATCAAAAAAAAAAAAAAACCATGAGACTTTAAAGAATCTTCAATGACTTTTTTTCCCCCTCGTATAACCTGGTCAGTGCCAAAAAAACAGAACTCAGAATTTACTATTTTTTAATTATATATTAGGTTTGTTTTTATTATTTTAAACAATGGCAGCAAAACTAAAGTGATCTCTGTAAAAAAAATAGCTTGGTGAAGATTCTTTACATCTTATTTCACAGAAAAACATGTCTGACCAAACATGGGCGATTAAAATGGCGACTTTTGGGTGAATTACAGAAAAACACGAGTGTACTTGAAGACGAAGAAAAAGAGATTGTACCAAGTTTTTGTTGTTTTTCTTGAACTCTATCGCTACTAATACACTTAATCACCATCGATTTTACATATTTCAGTGCAAGTATTTACAATTAAGGCTGCGTATTGTGTTTTACATGCTGAATGCTGGATGGACGCCTACATGCCTTGCTCTTTTATCGTGCATCGGAATGGCTGCTCCGTACTGGATTAGTATTGCTATTTGAGTTTATTATTATTATTATAAAAATCGCACCTTTAACATTGCTCAGCACCAACGGCCTCCAAAGCAGAGCAAGATTCTTCTTACGAAAGGAGTCTTTCGAAATGTCGAATGGAGCTAGGTAATGATCTCTTTGTGTTTTCTATACATGTGCTCATTGAAGTTGTTGAATATTTTAAAAGCAAACAGTGATCACACACACACACACGCACACACAAAAGAAAGTGTCAACTTAGCTAAAGATTATCTTGTTTATGATACAATCTATTTGTCAAATATTATTTGTCGCAATAGAAGGCTTTTCTTTACTCCTTTAAAGTGCATGAAACACTGTAGTACAAGAGTCTATGCACAGGTCAGGGGTCAAATGATTGTACACAATTTAGCAAACGTGAACAGTTCATGTTAAATGGTTATTAGTGCTCCAGAACTCTCTATATAACATACTTGCATACTATGTTTCTTTAATAAGCCTTGGCGTAGGAGATCTTTGTGTTGGCGCCAGTGTGTAGAACGCTTCAGTTTTGTATCTTCCTGTCATGGTACCAGAGCTATTAGCATATTTGCACTTTTCCCCCCTTTCCCCATTTTGATTTTGTACCTCAGACTGCTTTATGTATCTGATTGTAAGGAGATTTAGATCTCGTCGTTTTCTGGTAATTTTATGTTGTCCCACCTCTTAAAAAACGAAAGGCAAAAAAATAAATGTTTTGAGAAGTCTCGTTTGGTTCTTCAATATAAGGTTAGATGGTCACTGCTGCCCCCTACTGGGCAAAGATAGAATTGAGACACATTTAAATCTATATTTTTAATTTTCCTTCAGATTTACAGTGAAATAAAACATTTTAACATTGCATTGGTCATGCTATTTAACCCTGTGAGAGATTACAGATCAAGTTTTATATCTTAAAAGATGGCACTGGAATATTAACAACGTCTGGACTGATATAAATGCACAGATACATTCAGTCATGATTCTAGAACACCATGTTTACAGCTAGGACAATAGTCTCGCACTCAATTCCTGGAGGGCCGCTGCTCTACATAGTTTAACTCACACCTGCTTAACAGTAGTCTTGAACACCTTGATTAGTTGGATCAGCTGTGTTTGATTAGGGTTGGAGCAAAGCAGTGCAGAGCTGCGGCCCTCCAGGAAGTAAGTGCGAGACTGATGATCTAGAATCTACAATCAATGATATGAGTGAACTAGAGGCATGAACATTAAAAAATAGGCATTCCAAACATTACGTTGTGGCAACTTTGAGAACTAATTAAAAACTTTTAAAACTAGAATCAATTTTCAACCCATGATGAATCAATCCCCCCCTTTACTTGACATTTAATCGAAGTAGTAGTTTTGCAGGAAGATGCTGTTCAGGCCATTGTAGACGGGTTGATAGTTGTAGATCAGAGCTTTTTCTTCTTCGATCTGTGACGGAAATTGATGACGGTTTTTCATTGCTGAAAAGATAAACATGAAATGGTCAAACGTAGAATAAAACACGCCAGCGTCCTCTACAAACCAGAAAATGCACACGTGTATGTTTGTATATACATGTGTTATATTGGTTGACGTGACGTAGCATTTACACTGTCACATTACAAATATGGATAGAATTAGTCTTCATAATTTAAAATGCAGCTAACGATAAACATTTCTAAGTTTTTCTATACATCTCTTGTTATAAGCCTGCTGCTTTTTCAATACATTTAGCACTTAAGCCAAACCTTACAATGGTCAAAACACTCAAGCAGAGTTCAATATATTACAACTCTTATAAACAATAATAATAAAAAAGAATCATTAATAAATACCTCTGGCATAATTTTGCAAGCAGCTATTTTAGTAAATGGCAATTTTTTCTTCTATCTATACATTTTTAAAAACTTGATAAAATATCTATCTATCTATCTATCTATCTATCTATATATAAAACTTGGATAAATTTTCACTGTCTTTTGGTGTGACGCTTGTTTTTGGAGGCTTGTTTTAAAAATCAGGCGATTTCATGGAAACCTTTATCTAGTTGAAGAACCCCATTTAAGATCATGTGATCAAAGTTTTTGTCTTAAATTCATTCATATATATTAAACTTTTTGGTACTAGTTGGGAGTTGTTGTCTTTGGTGTAACACTTTATGGTTGAGTAAAAAAAGTGATAATATTGATAAAGAAAATGACAATAGAAAGATAAATAAAATGAATATTTTCTCCAAAATCAAATGATTTCTTCTTCAAAAATGCTGTACAGTGTCCCTCGGTAATCGCAGGAGTTACGTTCTAAAAATAACCCATTATAGATGAAATCTGCAAAGTAGTCGGCTTTATTTTTTTACAATTATTATAGATGTTTTAAGGCTGTAAAACCCCTCACTACACATTTTACACACTTTTCTCAGACAGGCATTAACATTTTCACACTTTTCTCTCTTGTTTAAAACTCTCAAAGTTCAAAGCAAAGATCAAAACTATTTGATCATTAATTTATTCATTCCGTAATGGTGCCCTACAGCTGCGCAACTTCTACTTTTCAGAGTCAGGCTGCTAGCGATGGAAGATGTATGTCAATTTGGCACATTCTGTACTATACAGGAGATACGACTGAGATTGACAACAGTGTACAGTTAATGAAGATGCAGAACACAATGTGCGGTTTAAAAAAATTAAATAAATAAAATCATGAAATTGCGAAAGTGAACCGCATTATAGCGAGGGACCACTTTATAGTGGAAGGCAAAATAATCGGCCCTACTGTGAAATCGATGTTCTTTTTCAAAATAATAACAAGTGATATTTAACAGAGCAAGGACATTTTCCACAGTATTTCTTTTGAGAGAAAGTCTTATTTATTTTAGTCTGGCTGAAATAAAAAGTAATTTTTACATTAAACAATAATAATAATAATAAAAGGTCAATATTATTAGTCAAGAAATAATTTTTCAATTAGATACATAAAAGCACTGCTTTTCCACTGTTAATCCAATAATTTGCCAAATTAACCTAACATGTATACATGTATAGATAGTACCCAGGTTAAGCCTCTGAATGTACACACAGACATCATCTATGTGCTATAAGATTGCAGATTATTTTATGACTGTTTAATAATTTGTATTTGATTGCAACTACAAAACGTGCACATTACAGTCAAATTAAGTTAAAGTTTGTCATTTTAAAACAATAATTACTGTAAAAAGCGCTATACAAATAAACTTGAATTGAATATATTGCACTTAAGCTGAATACTAGAACCTTGCAAATTAACTTAAAAAAAGAATAGACTTTCATCATAGCAAAGACAAAAGAAATTAGTTCAATCAAAAACATTGGATAAAAATGAGCTAAGTAAAGAAATAGATCTCTCCACCAAACACAGCTTGAGAAATGTTTGAAACCTGTCAGGCTGGACACATCATGCTCACCACAGCACTCTACAGCGAAAGCTGTGTGTCAATATTGGGCTGATAGTGTGTCTGAAAATGGAATTTCCAATATCACTTTTTTTGATGACCAACCTTCAGAAACGAAGAAGTGGGCTGTGTAGAAGGTGGCTTTGATGGCGGAGAGCGTGTGGACCATGCCGGATTTCTCAATCCACTCAAATGGACTCTTCTCAGGGTGCCACTGTACAGCGTAGAAGGGATATCGATATGCTATGGAATAGGACATGGTTCAGAAATTAAAAACAATTACTAGCACATGACTAAACACAAAAACATCTTTCATATGCAGCAGAGCAAGCCATTTTTCACAGTATGTCATAATATTTTTTCTTCTGGAGAAAGTCTTATTTGTTGTATTTCGGCTACAATAAAAGCAGTTTTTGATTTTTAAGACCATTTTAGGGTCAACATTATTAGCCCCTTTGAGCTATTTTTTCTTTATTGTCTACAGAACAAATCATCATTATACAACGACGTGCCTAATTACCCTAGTGAAGCCTTTAAATGTCACTTTAAACTGAACACCAGTATCTTGAAAATTATCCAGTCAAATAATATGTAATCATCATGGCAAAGATAAAATAAATCAGTTATTAGGAATGAGTTATTAAAACTATTATGTTTAGAAATGTGTTGACAAAAAAAATATTTTTGTTAAACTTAAATTGGGGGAAATTATACAGGGAGGCTAATAATTCAGAAGGGCTAGTAATTCTGACTTCAACTGTATAAACATAAAACGTGTGTTATATCAAAGGGATGTAATGATACACTCAAGCCACAATTTGATACCAAACTCAGAATACACAATGCGAAGAATTTAATATTAGTAGTATTATTTATGATGAGTCTCAAACATGAGACAGACTAATAATAATAATAATATAATATGTAGGTCTACTGTTGATTAAAATCCAATATATTGTATAGACTTGGAGCGGTGGACTTGAAAAGACTTTAAGTCCTGGTCCTCCTGGTTGATGACATCAGAATACAACTATTAATAATTCTGAAGATGAATTAATCATGCTATACGCTTGCACTCTGTCATGGACTACATATAAATAGGTGATTTTTACTGGTAAAAATCTGTCGATTGTCGTTATCTGAAGTATTTCTCACACTCATTGAACCTACAGCATAGCAGCACATGCTTTTTTGTGTTCACTATGAAAGTGAAACCAAATTAAAAGCTTGTAGTAAATCATTTAAATGATGCGTGTGCTTTCACTTTCACTTTGCTCTCCAGCCACTGCTGCTCATTTCAGTGTACTTTTGATCTTTTTGCAAATCTTAATTACACGTAATGACGTACAGAGGTCTTCTGAAGAGAAACGATCGATCTGTGCAACAAACTGAACGTTATTTACAACTTTATTATTTGGATATATTCACAGGCTATACAAACAGTTAAAAATCACACTAATGTACGCATCATTCTAGGGTGCGCGCTTGCTCTCTCTCTCTCTCTCTCTCTCTGTGTGTGTGTCAGCTCGAAAACCTCATTATGCAATTTAGTACATGAAATTGGAATTTACATTTTTGGGTGAATCATACCTTATAATTACAGTAAGTCGATTCTTGGGGAAAAAAACTCCAAGCTCAATAACTTGAGTCATATTTACATCAGCAATATTCATTGCATTTTTATTTTGCAATTTTTAATATTATGATGCATCGTTACATCCCTAGCTCTCCATAATCTCAATTTGCCAGAAAATGTAAACTAGGCATGTTAAACTATGAAATTTAACTACCAAGTTAAATTTAAAATTTAATTTAAACTGATTTTATTTCAATAGCGCTTTTCACAGTAATTATTAACTGCATATGGCCTCTAATATGAAGATCTTTGGCTGAATTCTTCATAACTTTTTCATTCTTTGTTTTTGTATGTTTTTTTTTATTTGTTCTCAAACATTGCTAAGAGGTTTGCACAACAGTTAACAGGTCGTGCAAACACTAAACACAGTTGGTTATATCTACTAAACAAGAATTGCTAAAAGTAAAATTGAAATCACAAACTAAACTGAAACGTAACTAATACGCGTTCATAAATTAAAAACTACACTAAAACCTTAAACCGAACTCAAACTAAATCGAAATCAAATGAACAGCAAAATTGTAAAATGTTTGTGAAATAAAAAAAAAAAAAAAAAAAAAGCTAAATTACATTAAACTTGATGGTGAATAAGATGTATAGATTGTTTATGCACAAAAAAAAAACCTATATTAATATAAAAATGTAGTTTAATTCATCCTTAGTCGACTTAACCTAATTCAATGGTCAAACTCAATTCCTGGAGGGCTGCTGCTCTGCAGTTCAGCTCCAACCCACACATGCTTAATGCTGTGTTCACACCGGACGCGGAAGGCGCGTCAAGCGTGAGTGATTTACATGTTAAGTCAAAGCAAACGTGCGAATAGACATCCTGCGGCATCCATGCTTAACGCATGTCTCGCACAAATTGCTTGAGTTAAAAAATCTGAACTAAAATCTGAACACTTGTGGGGCCGTGATTGTGACGTAGGGCCTGTTGTTAATGTCCAGGGGGAAATCCTCCAGCCGACACAGACAACAGTTAATCAAGCGGGGCTCGGCTCAGTCAGAAGCATCGCTGAAAGCCTCCATCATTCAGGTGAGGTTTCTGGAGGAGTTTATGAGCTCACAGAGCTGGGTTCACCTCTTAAATGATCTAGTGGACTCAAACACAACCTTAAACGTATCGACGCTGTTTTTCAGCCTTCATAAAGCACATAAACACAGTTATTTTCTTTAAAAATTCTATGTTAGCCATTTAGCAATGAAGCTAGAGTCACCGGGCAGACTGAAGCCCTGCCCATCACGCGAATCCACGTCTGTTCTGGAGTGAATTTGACTGGTATGAACAGCATAATAGTCTCTAGTACTCTTGAACACCTTGATTAGTTGGATCAGCTGTGTTTGATTAGGGTTGGAGCAAAGCTGCGGCCCTCCAGCAAGAGTTTGAGACCTATGTCCTAGTTCAATTTGCCTATGACAATTGATTTGACAAACAGAATCCTTTTTACTGTTTAGCGAAGACACGTTGCAAAATGTACATTTGACAAATCAAACAGAAACCTGATCAGAGGAAACATGAAGCGACCCTGCCGAAAGTGACGTTCTGCGATGTACATTCTTACCCTCCATAGTGGAAATGAACTCTTTCCTGCCGTCAGTATTAGTGGTCAGGACTCGATAGAAACGCTTCAGTTTGGGATTGGCACTGTAATTCTGAAAGTGCAAACACCAAAGATTTCGCAGTGAGCCCACTATGAGAAATGCAGAAGTCTTATATTGTGCCAGTGTTGCTTCTCCAATATTGCGAAATCACTTCTGAAAACCATTGTTAGAGAGAACGTTCAGCCAAAATGAAGGCTTCAACACCATATGAAGGGATAGATCAACCAAACAAACTTTCCTCATTTACTCATTCCATCGTAGGAACAACAAAAAAATACTAAAGAAAGTCAATAGCCATGTTTCCATCTACATATTTTTATGCACATGTTGGAATGCATGAAAAGTTGCCTAGGACATGCACCAATTTAAAAAACCGCAAGCACACGACTCAAATAAATAAGTTTGGAACAAATGGAGGACGAGTAAAACCACTAGAGAATTTTCATGTTTGGGTGAACTGTCCCTTCAGATGTCCTCCAGCTGAGGTGGGTTACCTGTGTGGACAAGCTCCAGCTGTGGAAATTAGACGTGATGTTTTCTTCTGCCAGAGACTGAAGAACATCTTTGGGAAATTTCTTGAACAACCTGCTGTTCTGGGCTCCTGTAAAATCAATAGAAACAATCAGCGGAATGTAAAATATACATTGAAGCTGATGTACAGAACCGGTCAAACCAGAATATGCACAGAGGCTAGGTTTTCAACTGGGTCATCGAGTTGTTTAGCCTATTTAAACTGAACAAGGAACTTGTGCTACTGAATAGGGCTGCACAATATATACCGTTTCAGCATTGGTATTGCTGTGTGCATCCGCAATAGTCACATTGCAATGATATGTTGAGTTGACTTTGCGGTGTAATTTGTACATTTACATATATATATTAAAAAAAGAACATGCACTGTTTATTTCACTTTATTGCATTTATCTATGCTTGTAGTTTGTTTACAACATGCTTTGCATGATTCACTCCCCTACAGAATCATCCCAGTCAATCAAAATTAATACATTCGATAACACTTTAGTGGCCAATTCAAACTAATAGGATATTAGTATGCTATTGACATATTGGCTGCTTATTAGTACTTATAAAAGCACATGTTCTGTGTGATCTTATTGTATACTTTAACCCTACTCAATACCTAAACTACCTTAATAACTATCAAGGAGCAAATTAAGAGTCTAAGAACAAGAACTGAACCTTAAAATAAAGTGTGACCATAAACCCTTTCCAGGTATAACAAAAGTATAATTTCAATAGTTCAAAAATAATTAAATTGCAAATTTTACAAAAGACTGATAATATACAAAGTTCACAAGTTATGGAAGCAAAAATATTCCTAAATGGGTTTTTGATATGATAGTTATAAGATTTTTTATTATTAGATGTGATTAAAAAAATCTGATGCTGGTCACCACACTGTGGTGCTTTATTCCTGAATTAATCATTTGGGGGGGTGGGGGGGGGGTGGGGGTCTCAGAATTATAAAGCGAGTCACTTAATTTCCAAATGAACCAGCCATTTTGAACAAATCATTTAAATGACTTATTCATAAACTTTATTAAGTCTTATCGCCACTTACTGGTGCATTTAGTGCCATTTTTATTAATCCATGACAGACCTAAACTAACAAACTCATGAATAAATTAATCAATCAAACATTAAATAAATAGATTAATGACCCTTATTGAAAATAAAAAGACAATTTCGGAAAAAATCTACAGGAAATAAATCATTTGAAGTAGACTTTTACATAAAAAAAAAAAAAAACTTTTAAATCAATATTTTTATTTATTAATCTTCCCATTTCATCTATTTTTGTAGCCTGTAAAATACTAAAACTAATTACAGATGTGTTCACGAAATTAAAACCATACTAAAACTAAACATAGCTATTAACAAAACAGACTAAAATTAAACTGAAATCTTCAACTAAAATGTAAACATTTTTAGCAAAATGAAAGCCAATCTAAAACGTGCAAACTATAATAAATACCCTTGGTTTATAAAACTGAAAACAAATGATAAAGTTCACAAATAAAAAATATAAAAAACTTCACAAAAACAAACTCAAACTATAATGAAGAGCAAAATTTTAAAATGGGTTTAAAATAATCTCATTCAAAAATGCTAAACTATAATAACCTTTATGCTATTATTTAACTAAAATGCAGTGTATCTGATGCTTTAGTCGACATAACCTAGTTAAATTTGCATATAAAATTACTTTGAATTAGCACATTTATGTGACCAAATATTTATGCAATTGTTTTCACAACAGTCATCTGATCAGAGGAAAAGCATGAAGTGATCAAGCATAAACAGCCACAAAGAGTCATTCAGTGAAGTACATTCTTCACCCCGGTGCAAATGGGTGTGAAAATGACTAATAAATAAAGTTTAATAAGGAAACCTTAAATCATTTCTGACTAATATCACACACCCATTCGTAGCAGCTGTTGCAGGTTAACATTTAATATGATTTTTTGCATTTTATTGACATTTTTTTGCGCAATAATAAACCTTTCGGAAAATATTTTCTGATGCACATAATGCACCTTTAGCGAAAACCACACGATGACTAACCTGGGCTGAAGGTCAACGGCAGAGCGACTGCTTTGGTGTCCGTCAAAGTCAACAAGTTTTTATTGCTGGTCAGAACAGTGAACTGCTGGAAGCCCTGACACGTGCCCCAGATCGGGAAATAATCCGAAGCATCGTTAGCCTGTGGTAAGTAATAGAAAACAAACATTAGTGCATTCAAATGAATTAATTAGTGCAAAAAATATAAATTACAGACATGTGGACTGATTTTTAGCATACATCATCAACTCTAAATCATTACAAATTCAGCTATAGAATAGTAGATTTCTTTGTTGTTGTTTTTTTTTCTGTACAGCACTTTGGTTCCACATGTGGCCTGGAAAGTGCTTTATAAATCAATTGTGTTGAAAATAGCAAAAGATTATGACTGACTCTGCCCACTTCATTTGTCATGAAGGCGATGTCAAGTTCTATTTTTTTCAGCTTGATCTCATGAGAAAACAATTTTACAAAGTCAAAAAATAGCTACTTCATACAAATTCCTGAAACATTTACCATTTTTAAAAAGAGGCATGTCCCCAAACCCCACCTCTCATCAGAGTATGAGGAAAATTTTACAGATTAAATCGCTTTTCTCCAATTGTGAGATCAATTCAACCTGTTCCAAATGTGTCATTTTTAATTACCTTTAATGCAAGTTCATAGAAAATCCTGGCCGCTCTGGTAAACTGAGACGTCTCGATGTCCACATTTCCTCCAGGAAGCAACAAGCTAAATAGTTTAAAACAAACAAAGTAAATATTACATAAAATAAATGATTACACCTTCAAATTTGGGAAAAATGTGACTCTGGGTCTCAAAACTAGTTTTATATTGCTTGGATAAAACTTATAAAAGTATGCATCGTATGAACCAAAATTATAGATTTTTCTTTCAAGTCAAAAATCATTCGAATTTTAAGTAAAATTAATATTGCATGGGTTAAATTTTGTAAATTGCCTTCATTCATTCATTCATTCATTCATTCATTTTTTTGTCAGCTTAGTCTCTTTAATAATCTGGGGTCGCCACAGCGGAATGAACCGCCAACTTATCCATGAAGTTTTTACGCAGTGGACCCAATTCACCTGTACCGCATGTCTTTGGACTGTGGGGGAAACCGGAGCATCGGAGGAAACCCACGCGAAAGTAGGGAGAACATACAAACTCCACACAGAAACGGCAACTGAGCAGAGATTCGAACCAGCGACCTTCTTGCTGGAAGCCGACAGCACTACCTACTGCGCCACTGCCTCGCCTAAATTGCCTTCAGTAAATATTAAATCTAATCTTCTGATTAGTTTTGCAAATATTTATTGTTTAAGAGCTTTATTTGGACAACTGGTTCTCTGAAGAAACCATTTTTGTTTTCAATCTACAGATTTCACAGTTTTATAAAGCTGAATCTCGGCCACATTGTTCTCCTAATAAACCATACATCAAAGAAATGCAACATGCTTCCAGGTAATGTATAAAGTTCAATTTATACACTTATGACTGAGCCTGTCATCCATGGTCACAAATATGAACAAAACCCAAATAAATCACAGCCCTTTATAAACATCCAAATCAGAATTAGACTATTCAGAAAGACTCACCCATTTATTGCATTGAATAGTGTTTCATACTCCTCCTCTGTGCGATTTATGCTGGAAATAAACATATAATAAATTGGTGTATATTCATTTTTTTTTAAATGTGCTTATCCTACATGTACAGTAGCTGGTGTTATAGATGTATACCGGATGGGTACAACCCTGGCCCCAGCTGACTCCAGGTGTTTGACATATGACGCAGCTATATAAGAAGTGCCCTGTGCATGAGGATCCTCCTCCAAGTTCTCCTGGGCTAAAATTCCTGAAACACAAACAAATATATGGGTTCAAGAAGTTTTAAAGCAATAAAACAACAAGAGGGTTATACGGTTTACAACAACAAATGCAAGTATCCTGGGCAATTTATGAATAAAAATATCATTATTCCAGCATTTTTTTTTTACACAGCGGATATCGTTCCAGCTGCAACCCAGTACTAGGAAACACCCATACATACTCATTCACACACACACACACACACAATTATACACTGCCAGTTTAGATGAATTATTATTCACCTACTGTATAGTGCATGTCTTTGGACTGTGGTTAAAACGGCTACTTTTTACTTTTTTAATTTTGTACATTTTTGAGGCTGTACTTCTTTACTTTAAGTACAAAAGTGTAGTCAGTACTTCAACTTTTACCAGTGTCGTTTTAAAAAGGAGTATCTGTTTTAAAAATTACAATAAAATAAATATCTAGACAACAATCTGTCCAGGTCGGTGTTCTCAGCAGTAAATACATGGAGAACATTTAAACAAATGTTATTGTAAGGAACGTAGCAGCACGAGTGGTCTTTAATGAACCTAAAAGAGCACATGTCACTCCGCTGCTCATCCGTTTGCACTGGCTGCCAGTTGCTGCTCGCATCAAATTCAAAGCTCTGATGTTTGCTTACAAAGCGACTTCTGGCTTTGCTCCTTTTCTGCTCTCACTTCTGCAGATCTATGAGCCCTCCAGAAACTTGCGTTCTGTGAATGAACGTCACCTTGTGGTTTCATCCCAAAGAGGGAAGAAATCACTTTCCCGAACTCTCGCACTTAATCTGCCCAGTTGGTGGAATGAACTCCCTAACTGCATCAAAGAGTCACTCGCTGTCTTCAAGAAACGACTAAAAACTCAACTATTTAGTCTCCACTTCCCTTACTAATGTGCAATTGCCTCTCTGGTTCTATTGCTAACTGTATAACAACAAAAAAAAAATATTACAAATTTTTTGCTTCTTACACTTTACATACCTGAAACTTGCCTATAGCACTTCTTCATTGTTGCTCTTATAATTGTGTAAATTGCTTCCTAGCCCTCATTTGCAAGTCGCTTTGGATAAAACGTCTGCTAAATGACTAAATGTAAATCTGAAAATAATTGTGCCATTATGATAGTTAAAAAATTACCTTTTTAAATAAAAGTTTAAAGTTTTATTGAGATGGATTGTTGGTGATTGTATTTCCGTAAATTTAAGACTATTTTAAGGCCTAAAATTTGGATTTTGATATTTAAGACATTTTAAGACCCCACAGAAACCCTGTTTACTATAGCATGGTTCATGGACAACACAGTATTTACTATAAACTACTACAGCATATTCATCTGGTCTTCCAGTCATGTGATTGAGGTAAAGTTAGCTTTATATTACACACATTCAGACTTTCTCCCTAATAATATTTTTTCACAAAAATATTCTTTGTAAAATCAAAATAGTGAAATCATAATAGCAGCAAATGACCATCAAAGTACAACATTGTTTACAGTTAAACACACAGTGCTAATGTTGTTTTTAAGTCAAACTTAGATTTTTTTTCAGCATGAATATTAGAAGTATCATGCTAAACGGCATAGGGAGCATGTCATAAGTTGTCACCGAACGAATGTTTGAATATAAAACCAACTTTACCTCAATAATCAACCGTTTACTATGACAATACATTTAAGTGAATTAGGAGGCATAAGACAGAAGAATGTTCCAGCATCAGCAGAGACGCTTCACTGCGCAAAACATCATCTAACCACACACTGTTTAACCATCTCCGGAACAGTAAAATAACACAATAAGATGAGATGCTTACCAATAATCGGTCTGTAATTTAAATTACGAGCGCATGATGCTGGAAAACCGCATAGACAAGCGGCAAACACCGCGAGCACGAGCACCTGGCGATACATCCACCTCAGGTAGCACACCAAAGGACAAAAATAAAGCAAAGCTCGTCGATGGTATCAAGTAAAACAGCACAATGTCGGCTTGACTGGCGATGACAGGCTTTTTATAGCAGGCTGCGCCCAGATCTGCTGTCGACAGGTGAAGCAAACAGCGTGAAATACCGACTGAGGCGTGGACTGATGTTTGCTTCATCAACGGCGACAAACCACGTTTGTGCCCGCCCCCTTTGATTCGTCATCACGAGGACATTACGTTCATTACAATTAAAATGCTAATTATATTATTGTTGGATTAGGACAGTTATCATATTTGTAACATTTGTTTTCTAATGAATCAGGACACCTTTCTTGTAACTATACATTCTTTGTGAAGGATTAATACAAACAAATTAACGCGTATAATGTGCTTTCTTGAAGTGACTCATTGTGCACAAACAAACAATGTAAACAATCACTCAGACATCTATATTATGCAAACCTTTAAGTATCCTAATTGACTACGTGGAAAATAATGACACATTACATAATAAAATGAAAACATACACTCACCGGCCACTTTATTACACCTTACTAGTACCAGGTTGGACACCAATTTGCCTTCAGAACTGACTTAATCCTTTGTGGCATAGATTTAACAAGCTACTGGAAATATTCCTTTGAGATTTTGGTCCATATTGACATGATAGCATCTCCCGTTTCACCACATCCCAAAACTACTTTATTGGATTGAGTTATGGGGACTGTGGAGGCCATTTAAGTACAGTGAACTCATTGTCATATTCAGGAAACCAGTTTGAGATGATTCACGCTTTATGCCATGGCGCGTTATCCTGCTGGAAGTAGCCATCAGAAGATGGGTACACTGTGGTCATAAAGGGATGGACGTGCTTAGCAACAATACTCAGGTGGGCTGTGGCGTTGACATGATGCTGAGTTGGTATTAATGCGGCCAAAGTGTGCCAAGAAAATATCCCCCACACCATTACACCACCACCAGCAGCCTGAACCATTGATACAAGGCAGGATGGATCCATGCTTTCATGTTGTTGATGCCAAATTCTGACCCGACCATCCGAATGTTGCAGCAGAAATCGAGACTCATCAGACAGGCAGCGTTTTTCCAATATTCAATTGTCTAATTTTGGTGAGCCTGTGTGAATTGTAGCTTCAGTTTCCTGTTCTCAACTGACAGCAGTGGCACCCGGTGTGGTCTTCTGCTGCTGTAGCCCATACACCTCAAGGTTGGACGTGTTGCGCATTCAGAGATGCTCTTCTGCAGACCTCGGTTGTAACGAGTAGTTATTTGAGTTACTGTTGCTTTTCTATCAGCTGGAACCAGTCTGGCCATTCTCCTCTGACTTCTGGCATCAACAAGGCATTTGTGCCCACAGATCTGCCGCTCACTGGATATTATCTCTTTTTTAGACCATTCTCTGTAAACCCTAGAGTGTTTGTGTGTGCGTGAAAATCCCAGTAGATTTCTGAAATACTCAGAGCAGCCTGTCTGGCACCAACAACCAATCCCACGTTCAAAGTCACTTAAATCACCTCTCTTCCCCATTCTGATGCTCAGTTTGAACTGCAGCAGATCATCTTGACCATGTCTACATGCCTAAATGCATTGAGTCGCTGCCTGGTGATTGGCTGATTAGAAATTTGCTTTAACAAGCAGTTGGACAGGTGTACCTAATAAAGTGGCCTGTGAGTGTAATTTGTGTTTAATTGCATAAATTATTCCTTTTGCATTTGAAAAGCCTTAGAGCTGAAGTAAATTATACAAATGTTCAATTCTACAAATGTAACTATATATTGTCCTTTTAGGAGGATTAAAACAATTGTCAAAAACATTAATGCTTATAATCTGCTTTCATGAAGTGACATATTATGCTCAAACAGCAATGTTGTTAATCATTCAAATAAACAATCACTCAGACATCTATATTACGCAAACCTTTAATTACTCTAATTGTCTACTTGGAAAATAATAACACATTACATAATAAAATGAAGACTTTTATGTGTTTATTTGCAAAAATAATTCCTTTTGCATTTAAAAGGTCTTAGAGTTGAAGAAAATTCAACAAATGTTTATTATGTACACTTATGAAATGAACATTTCAGCTGAAAACCACTATTTTAAAACTTGAAATACAAAAAAAAACTGTCTTTAAATGCCAATAGGTATTAACATGACACCTTACATTTCTGACTGCTTATCGAAATATAATCCAAACCGTTTGCTACGCTCTTCTAGCGCTGGACTTTTAGAATTTTACTCTGTAAATCTGATGTGATCTGGCACCTCTTTTAGTCGCTATGCTCCAAAATTTTGGAATTGTCTCCCAAATGAAATGAGAGCAGCATTCATGTTTTTAAAAAGCGTGTTCAGACGCACCTTTTTAAAATTGCATATGAATATAACAGTTTGTGAAGTGTTTGCATTTTATGTATGTGCAGTTAAAACCAGAAGTTTACACACACTGTATAAAAAGACACATAACCATTTTAAATAAAGTCAGATGTTAATGTGACTAAACTTTCTCTCTTTTAGGTAAGTTAGGGGTATCAAATGTGTTTCTGTTATGCTTTATAGCAGAATAATGAGAGATTTTTTGAGAAATTGTTATGACTTCTTGAAAGTCAAGTTTACATACAATAAGATTATTCTGCCTCTAAAAAAGCTCAGAGGATGGTGTCAAGGTTTTGGAAGTTTCTGATTGGCTAATTGACAACATTTGAGTTAATTGGAGGCACAGCTGTAGAATAGTATTTAAGCAAAACCTCAAACACACTGCTTCCTTGAGTGACAACATGGAAAAATCAACAAGCCAGAATCAACAACAAAGCCAGATTACAATTTGCTAAATCACTCTGGGAAAAAGAATAATTGTTGGAGACATGTCCTGTGCTCTGATGGAGCTAAGATTAAACTGTTTGGCCATAATGACCAGTGTTACATTTGGAGGACAAAGGGGAAAGCTTACAAGCCTAGGAACACCATCCCAACTGTGAAGTATGGGGGCGGCAGCATCATGTTGTGGGGCTGTTTTGCTGCAGGAGGGACTGGTCCACTTCACAGCATAGATGGCATCATGAAGAAAGAACGTTATGTAGAAATACTGAAGCAACATCTCGAGACATCAGCCAGGAAATTAAAACTTGGCCACAAATGGGACTTCCAAACAGACCATGACCCTAAGCATACTGTCAGATTAGTTAAATTGTGCTTTAAGGACAACAGAATGAATGTTTTGGAGTGGCCATCACAAAGCCCTGATCTCAATCCTTATAGAAAATTTGTGGGCAGAGTTGAAAAAGCTTGTGTGAGCAAGACAGCCAACAAATCTGATACAGTTACACCAATTCTGTCAGAAGGAATGGGCCAAAATTCCTTCAAACTATTGTGAGAAGCTTGTGAAAGGATACTCAAAACATTTGACCAAAGCTTAAAAGCAAAGCTTAAAAAATAAGAAAAATGTATGTAAACTTTTGACTGTCTAGAAATTTGTATAAAATTCATTTATATAATGCCAACTTATCCAGCACGTTTTTACGCAGCGGATGCCCTTCCAGCCGCAACCCACATCTGGGAACACCCACACACACTCATTCACACTCATACACTACGGACAATTTAGCCCACTCAACTCACCTGTACCGCATGTCTTTGGACCGTGGGGGAAACCGGAGCACCCGAAGGAAACTTACTCGAACGCAGGGAGAACATGCAAACTCCACACAGAAATGCCAACTGACCCAGCCAAGGTTCGAACCAGCGACCTTCTTGTTGTGAGGTGACAGTGCTAACCACTGAGCCACCCAAAATATTTTACAGATGTCAAATACTAATTTAAGAAAACGTCCGATATTTAATTGTGAATAAAACGGACTGCTTTAGTGGAAGTGGGTTTTGGCACATTTAAGTAGTAAATAGTAGTAAATCTTATGCACAAGCAAGCTATTTGTCCACCCAACAAATGAACCACGTGTTGTTCCAGTTCAATAAATGAGACTGCAACAGGTTTCAGTTTGACTAACAAAATGGTGGTTACGTAGAAAGAAGTGTAGGTGTTTAATTGATGCATGAGAAAACACATTTTACTCAGCAAGTTCATTTGAGACGTCAATCAAAACCAACTGTTGTGCTTAATGTTATCAAATTGCTTTTATAAAAATACAAATGCAACGATAAATAAAATACAACAATGTCGTGGCAACCTTGATCAGATTTTTAAGAGATCAAATAAAAAGTGAAACTGAAAGTACTTTGTGGTGCTCTTGGTGAAGTGAAAGATCACAGATTGTCATCTCAAGATCTTAATCTACTGTATGGTTTTAGACATTAGGTTAGTGAACTATTCAACAGAAATTATTAAATATAAATTATGGTTGTTTGATAGATTCTCAGATGTAACTTTTCCATACTTTTTTGTTTCCGAATATCTGTATAACAGTGCTTTCAATTTAATTGAAACGTGCACATTAAATAAAAATCTCTTACACCACAATGCTACATGCCGTTTGGGGGTGGGGAGTGTTAATAGAGGTTCAGGACGCTAGAGGACGCCAAATCATATTTTTTTTCTCTGCTACCTCTCTTGGCTGTGATATCTTACTAAAATAGGAAAGGAATTGTAAAATAATAACAACAACAACAACAATAATAATAATCTTTTTATAGGAAATATGCCAGCATGGTGACGGAGTAGGTAGCACAATCCCATCAAAGCAAGAAGGTCGCTGGTTCGAGCCTCGGCTGGGTCAGTTGGCATTTCTGTGAGGAGTTTGCTTGTTCTCTTCGTGCTTGGGTGGGTTTCCTCCGGGTGCTCCGATTGACTGATGTAAGTGTAAATTGTACTAGAAAACTTCATTTGATTCAATTAAAAATGTTAACTCCCTTACCTTAAAGGGATAGTTCACTCAAAAATGAACATTTCCTCACTATTTTTTACTCGCGCTCGAGTTTCTTTCTTTTGTTGAACACTAAAGAAGTATTCTGAAAGCTGAAAACCTACTTCCATAGTAACTGTAGTAGGAAAAACAAATACTATGGAAGTCAATAGTTACAGCTTTCTTCAAGACATCTTTTTTTCGTGTGTTTAAGAGAAGCAAGAAACCCAAACAAGTTTGTAACAGATGAATGGTGAGTAAATCAGGGCTGCACAACATCGGAAAAATTAGACATTGCAATATTTTTATACTGCAATATATATTGCGAATTGAAAACAATGCAGATGGTTTAATATGTGCATTTGGAAAGAATTTATAATGTTAGATTGATAGGGATGATTCTGCAATAGAAGTGCATCTCTATAAAATCTAATAAGCAATCTATAAAAACAATAAAAAGATACAATTGGGGGGTCCAATTTCACTACATGTCATAGTGCATGTGACAAATAAAGGCTTTTAATCATCATCATCATAATTCAGAAACATCAATCATTCATCAATTAACAAATGGTACAATTTCTCATGCCTGAATGCTTTTAAAAATCCTCATAGGGCTCAAAGACACATACAAATGATCATTTATAATACAAACTCCATATTGCACACCCATGCGAAGGAACACATTGCGATATCCATGCTGAAGTTATATATTGTGCGGCCCTAGAGTAAATGAAAACAGAATTGTCATTTTGGCCTGACCTAAAATATGAGTGCATATCTTTCCACTAAAGTTCTTCAGAAGTTGATTTAGCACACCTAAGCAACATCCTGTCATGACTTAAATGCAGACAGGACCAAGAAACAGGTCCGCTACCTACATTGCCAGACCACATTAAACAAAAAGCTTTGTAGGCACAAAATAGATGAAAGTACACATGGATGTAAAGTATTATGATTTAATTAGTTATGAACAGCATATCGTGCAAGCTGTGTTAGATGACTGACTCAATATTATAAGTGAAGAACATGACTTTAGTCATATCTATTGTTTAGGAAGAAGCATTAAACACTCATTCATTCATTTTCTTTTGGCTTAGTGCCTTATTTATCAGCGGTGACCACAGTGGAATGAACTGCCAACTATTCTGACGTGTTTTACACCGCGGATGCCCTTCCAGCTGCAACCCAGTACTGGGAAACCCCCATATACTCTCATTTACACTCACACATTACGGCCAATTTAGTTTACCCAATTCACCTGTAGCGCATATCTTTGGACTGTGGGGAAAACCGTAGCACGACAACACTCAGAGAACTCCACACAGTAATGCCAACTGGCCCAGCCGGGACTCAAACCAGCAACCTTCCTGCTGTGAGGCATCAGTGCTAACCACTGAGCGGCTGAAGCATTAATCGTTTAGATTAAAATACTTCGTTTAGTCCTGTTGTAATAAATTAATGTCTGTTTCCTGAAGATTAGATGATGGCCTGCGGCTTTTCTGTTCAGCTCTTCTGGATCTGAAATCATAAACCAAGACGGCTACAGTAGCCACGCCCACCAGAGCAGAAAGGACCAATTGGATCGCAGCTTCAGCTGAGTCACAGCAGCAGACATGATCTAGAGAACAACAATTTTATATAATAAATAAATATCAACTGATGCAGTACTATTTACATTGACGTTTAGTAATGATGCTACCTGAACATGGCTGACAGAGTGTGCTGATGTCCAGATGTGTGGTCTGGTTGCTGATGGGGTTGTCGATCACACAGCTGTAGGTGTTTTCATCCTGATATTCCACCTCCAGAGGTAGAGAGAGACTGATGCTGAGATCAGACACACTGATGCTGGACAATACACTGTTTCCTTTGTACCAGGAGAGACTCACAGCGCTCACATTCACCACTGAACACAGCAGGACACATTTAGAGTCTAAGGATCCTGACGATGAAGGATTTTGTGGACAGTAGCTGTTAATGGCAGGCTTGGGAAGACGAGCTGGAAAACATGAGGAAAACTCTTCTTTAAAATCAAGAAAATACACAGATGTATGTTTGTACTGGGTGACGCAGTGTTGCAGTAGGTAGTGCTGTCGCCTCACAGCGAGAAGGCGCCACCCCCCACAGTCCAAAGACATGCGGTATAGATGAATTGGGTAGGCTAAATTGTCCGTTGTGTATGAGCATGAGTGTGAGTGTGTGTCTGTTTCCCAGAGATGGGTTGCGGCTAGAAGGGCATCGGCTGCGTAAAAACGTGCTTGATAAGTTGGTGGTTCCTTCTGCTGTGACGACCCCAGATTAAAAAAGGGACTAAGCCGACAAGAAAATGAATGAATGAATGTTTGTACTGTATAATGCTGGGGTCACACCAAATGGAAATGTGCAGTTGAAGTCAAAATTATTCACCCTCTATTTCTTTTTTAAGCATTAACTTAATGATGTTTAACAGATCCAGGAATTCTTCACAGTATTTCCTAAAATATTTTTTCTTCCAGAGAAAGTCCTATTTGTTTTATTTTGGCTAGAAAAATTAAAAAATGTAAAAACCATTTGAAGGGTTTTTTCCATATATTGGTTTATTTTACTTTATTTTTGAAGGCCAGGTACAGTCAATCTAGGGCCATATATACAAGCAAAATAAAAGAAAGTTTTGCAAACAAAAGATAAAGTATTGAGCCCAAAATTTCAAATAAATGCAAATATTAAAAAAATGCAAAGCAAAAATTAGTTTTTGAGAAATAAAATGAAATTTGCAAAAAAAAAAAAAACTGCAAATAAAAATTAAGCAATGCAGAAATATTTGCAATTTAACAATAAAAAAATAAACAAATATATCATATTTCACTATTCTTTTGTTTGATCAAACATAATTCACTGTGTTTGGACCACGTCAGACATATAAAAGGATTACTTATGCACATCACCTCAACAACAGAGGAGAAATGGCCCTGAAGTGCACAGTACAAGGTAAGAGATGAGAGCTGTCTGTGCTATCTGGGGCTGCTTATTGATCATAAATGTATTGTTTTCACTTCTGCTCCATGGAAACACCGAGATTCATTCAGGAACTGTTTGATATGTAAATATAATTCAGTAAAAAGAAAGCTAGAACCGTATGAGCACCGGCAAGAGCTTTCATTTGAGCTATAACTTGTACATGTGTCATATGAAAAATATTACAAATATTAACAGTATTTCCTAAAATGTTTTTTCTTCCAGAGAAAGTCTTATTTGTTTTATTTTGGCTAGAATAATAAAAAAGTTTTAAAAAACATTTGAAGGGTTTTTTCCATATATTGGTTTATTTTACTTTATTTTTGAAGGCCAGGTACAGTCAATCTAGGGCCATATATACATGCAAAATAAAAGAAAGTTTTGCAAACAAAAAATAAAGCATTGAGCAAAAAATTTAAAATAAATGCAAATATAAAAAAAATGCAAAGCAAAAATTAGTTTTTGAGAAATAAAATGAAATTTGCAAAAAAAAAAAAAAAACTGCAAATAAAAATGAAGCATTGCAGAAATATTTGCAATTTAACAATAAAAAAATAAACATACATATACATATATATATATATATATATATATATATGTATATATATATATATATATATATATATATATATATATATATGTATATATATATATAGATAAATAGCAAATATTTCTGCTATGCTTCATATTTATTTGCAGTTTTTTTTTTTTATTTGCAAATTTCTTTTTATTTCACAAAAACAAATTTTTGCTATGTTTTTTTTATATATTTACATTTATTATAAATTTCTCGCTCAGTGCTTTATTGTGTGTGTGCCAAACTTTTTTTTTGTGTGCGTGTATATATGGCCAGAGAG